TGTGAAGAGGAGAGTGCACATCATAAAAGACGATAAAAACTATGGAACTATAAAAACTTAAAAAAAAAAAAGAAAAACTATTACTATTTTAGGTCAATGGTGTTGAATGTTGTGGCTACACAATAGGGATGATCGAGTCCTGGGGGTGTACACAGGATGGTATCACTTCCAAAGAAACTGTCTTTTTTTTTATTGATTCAGTCATCAACTTTAACAGTTGAACAGGCACGGAATAAAACAATTAAAGGCTGAAGGCGTGCTTTAGTTGGAACTTTTTATCTCAGGTGTGACGAGGAGAGTGCACATCATAAAAGACGATAAAAACTATGGAACTATAAAAACTTAAAAAAAAAAAAGAAAAACTATTACTATTTTAGGTCAATGGTGTTGAATGTTGTGGCTACACAATAGATAAATTAAATTAAAAATTAAACTACTACGTTTGACCCTCCATTGACTGTCCTGCCTTCCTTTCTTTATTGCTACAAACTCCAGGCTCCAATCATGTTTTATAAACAGTCAGAGAGGTGGAGAACTGAAAACATTCAGGTTTCATTACATCCATTTGTTTTGGTCCAAATGTTGATGTCAGTTCCTGTTTAGTCATGAAAAACGTATTATAAGCCCAGCTGTATTTCTTGGATTTAAAAAAAATATATAGTAATTTATAATTTAGAAATCCAGCAGGCATAGCTTGACCTTTGACCTTGAAACTTCATGAAGTTCATGATGTCAATCGCTTTCATAAAATTGTTGTTAAAAACACAATCCTGTTTAGAGGAAAATAAACACTAAAGCAAAAAGACCTGATGCCTCGTACATCACCGTAAAAATAACACTGGGCAGGAGAAGTAATTAGGATTTTCTATTTTCTTCTCTCTTTTTTAACACCATTAAGCTGCAGCAGCAGATCCTGCTGTGTTTGGTACAAGCTGTCGAGCCAATTATGTCCAAATTGAAACTAATATCGGTTCCAGTCCAGAAAAAGGAGGTTGGAAGTTTGAGTTTTAACAAGAAGAAACAAGTCATTCACATGGAACACACCGGTTTGGAACAGAACTCTTAGAAAAAGGTGTGGTACAGACGTGAGACCGGGCCAAGAACAGCAGTTTGTGGAGAATTATTATGAAACTTTTTATCAGTCTTTTTATCAATGTAGATAAGAAGAAAAATAATGTCTGTGGCGAAATAAACCTGAATGGACAAGAAAAAAACATTTTTTAAATTTTCCCTTTTTTTTTCCTGATAACACTGACTTTTGTTAACGTTCTGTTTTCTCCCCTCCCTCCCCCTGCCTTCCTTTCTTTCTCCCTCCTCAACAGCGTCCACATCACGCACATGCCCTCTACGACTTCTCCCCCCACCACTCATCCCAGCTGCGCTTCCTGCGCGGTGATGTCATTGAACTCATTGACTGCTCCGACTCCACGCGCTGGAGGGGGCGCTGCCGAGGCCACGTGGGTTACTTCCCGCCGGAATACGTGCAGCCAATTTACCAGTGCCAGTGAACTGAAGAGGTGTCAATCAAACGCCGGACCGCTCCCACGGGTTCCTCTGCGTCCCATCAAGACCCCGCCCCTTGACATTGCTCCACCGCTTTGCACTTGTACAGAAAAATTTTTGGAGCGAACGAGTGATGAGCTTCTGCTCATTTGTTACATATTTTTCCGTGTCAGTCACAAACGTCAACCAGTCGGCTACAATAGTCCAGATGCTTCTGTAATCGCTGAAACAGACCAGATGTGGACCTACACACTGTGGACAATTTCACACACACATGCGCAACACACACACACACAACCACACATAACCCCAGTGCAAGCGAATAGGGATTGGAAGGACCGCGTGAACTTTCACAGGTTTTTTCTCCGCTGCAGATGAGTCAGGGATTTCTCCAGTGACTTGCAGCCGTTCCACAGTGAGATTTGACATGAAACGTTATGAAGTTGTAAAAGTGTTTCTGAAAATTCCGTGGAGACAGAAGAATCTCCTCCACCCTTGGAAAAATGTGTGAACTGATTGTCTGTGTTTGAGGTAATATAATTATATAGGGTCCCAACTTCAAACTTTATGTCAAAAAAAGTGAACAGTGTCACCTTGGGCTGAACCTCATACTGTCGTTGTTTTTTTTTACTCTGTGTATTTATTCTACTTCACACGGACTCTTACATGTAATACTGAACGTTGTATAAAGAGTTTTGTTTCTATTGTGACATGTTTAAAAAAAACACAGTTTTATGTGACAACCAGTGAGAACTACGACTGCTCCTAACCTGTAATGACATTAAAATAAAGTTGAACATTTACCACTTTTCGTCTCTGTAGGTTCTCAGTCATCCTCGTCATTTGATCCGACACAGTTGAAGACTTTTCTCCCCTTCGTTCCCAGAGGCTTCTTCAGTTCTTTACTGATGGAAAAATTCTGGTTCTGATACCTGGGAAGAGGAAGATATACAGTACTAGTGATCAGGGAAAAATAACATGCAGTAATCTGGCTGCTTTGTATCTGCAACACAGTATAACAAACGTGGTTAAAAAAAATAAATACATTTCTTCAGAAATTTGTGGTGTCTAAATGGGGTCACAAACCTAAAGAAAGTTGTGTTCGTGTGTTCATCAACGACACTACGACTAAGTACACAACATTGAAGACAGGCTGTTCTGTGACAGTGGCCCGGTGCTATGTGAGGAATGAGGCTGTGCTCGTCTCACTGCCGTGTTATGTCTAAAATGAAGAGCGTTTACATTCTGCAATTTGCCGGCACACTTTTCCTCTCCTCTTTGTTTGTTTTTTTTTTCTTTTTCTCCCTCCCTCATCCATCAAAACCACTCTTTTTCATTCCCCCCTCACACAGTCACCTCTGGCATTCGGGTAACAGTAAGTCAATAAACCAACGTCACGGAGGAGCTGAGGAAGAAAAATGCTGCTGAAGGAGCCTTTAAGAACACACTGACACTGGTGTGTACGGGAGCGAGGATGACGCCTCGGTGATCTCACACACGTACACTGTGTAAGTGTGTGTGAAACGCTTTTAATGTAGTAATGTAACAGACAACAGATGGAACGTAAGGTAGGTCACAGAGGGAGAGCAGCAGAGTGAGAGGGGATAAGAAAGAGGAGGAGGAAGAGGAGGAAGAGGAGGAGGCAGGTGACTGACAGAAGAGGAAGCAGTGTGTCAACATCAGGGCGACAGTAAAAGTGTCAAGACTGGGTATGTGTGAGCTGTCGTATCTGTGGTGTGACCGACAGCTGAACCAGGACGTGAAGTCCCACAGTGTGAGTCAAAGTCAAAGTCAAACAAAGTCTTTAATCAGATAATTAGTCGTCTGCTGGACCTGGGCCTCTCCACAAACGAGAGCGAAGAACAAGTCCACTTAAAAACGGCTGCGCTGACCTCACTGAATAAGAGGTGACACCGAGATGCAAATATCTCAGCGGACGAAACGGCCAGTCAAATCACAATTTTGCATTTAAGCTTCATCGAAGTCGGGACTGGCTTCACAGAAAGGGTTTTTCCCTCCATTCCTGTCATTTTTGGCCGACACTGCAGCCGACATCAGTCGACGCCATGTCAACATTCTGTTGTTCTCTGCTCTCCGTGACATTTTTTTAAACAGCTGTTAAATATGGATCATGTTATTGCGGTGGTTAGAGGGGCGTGGATACAAGGAAAGAAGGTTTAAAGATTAAACCTGATTTGTATCTGTACTTGTTTTTCTACTCGCCAAAAGAAAAGACATATTTAGGACCAGGGCTAAACAATAGTCCCTTCTACAAGAGGGGGTGGGCTTAGGGTCAGGGTCCCACAGGAAAAGTATGGGGAGCACTGCTGTGATGAAAGCCACAGTAGCTTGTTGTCAAAATCCTAAGAAAAAAAAATTCTCATTTTTCTATTTAATTTTCTGCCATTTTGTCTGCTTTTCTCATATGGTGCTTTTTACTAGTGATAACTGGTGTTATAATTTGTGCAACAACCATGGTAATAATGGTTGTTGAACGAATACTGGGGATAAAAAAAAACAGCAATGTGGGTTTTAAGTCAATAAATATATATTTTTTTATAAATATAAAATATCAAACTAACCCAGGAGCAACACCAAAAGGAAATGAGAAGATATTTAGTGAGGAGAACTTGACCTGTTCCACTCGTCTGCAACTGTATAAAGGAAGCTCGCTTTTTTATTTTGGTGTTGCATTCTACGAGCAGCCGTGCAGTAAAGCTGGGGAGATTAGATTTGTTGTCTCTGACATGTGTCTGTGTCTGTGTCTGTGTGGGAGAGACTGAGGGAGGGAGGAGGACGTGAACAGTGAATCGCCCATATGTGGGGGAGATTATTCTTTTGTTTTCTCTTTACAGACACAGATTAGACATCTTGGCTTCTCCACAAAAATACCTTCCCAGGTCACCCAACGGCTGCTTGGGTTTCCCATCCGAGCAAAGCTTAAAAATAACAGTTTCCCTCTTCCTCTCCGGCCCAGTCTGCAGGGAAGGACCACGTCACAATGACTCTGTAACTTTTAATCCCCATAAACGGGTACTTTCTTTAGACTAGATGACAAAGAACCAGCGGTTGAATCACCGTGGGCATGTCACTTCACGTACAGGACGACTAAATGAGAAAAGTGAGCAATCAGATAACAAAGGTGAGCAGAGCAGGAAAAGACAAAACGCTAACACGACAGCGTCCACAGAAAACCAAGCACTTAAGAAAACAAATGACAGCACAAAGTAGGGTTGTCGGGTTATTTGTGTAATTGATCAATCTTCATCTCAGGGCAGAGTGACATGCCCTGTACATCTAATCCAGCCACTTACTGTTGCTCTAATACGCAGTCATTAATATTACACAGGACATGTTGTAATTTGCACACCCCATGGGGAAAAGAAAAAACGTTTTCATCTCTTCGATCACCTTGAGCTTCAACATCTTGGAGGTGTCTGTAGAGACTTGGACCTCAGACCAACCTCATCCAGCTCTAAGTAGTAAACGGGTTTACGGCTGACGAACTGTGAGAGACTGTAGACCGATTAGTATTGTTCAGGACAACAGAAGTTCATGGAAGTTTCCCAAGCAACTCTTGACTCTTTCTACAAAACACCGTCCAAACGCACATCGACTCCAACCCATCAGGTACATGGAGCTACAATTTGAGTTATGCAGTAGTTTTGTATATTTTTCTTTACATTAATAATTTAATTTAACTACTTGCAGTAAAAGGGAACTTTCACAAACAGCAAAACAGTTTATCTCCGTCATGAGCAACCGTATCGTTGATGTTGTTGTTTATGTTACTGTTTATAGGTTCAGGAAGTAGGTACAATCTCTGCAAATTAGAAACTGTTGTGTGACATGGACACACAGACTCAGAGCTGTCATGAGCAACCGTACCGTTGATGTTGTTGTTTATGTTACTGTGAGGAAGTCGTGGTGGTTTCCACACACTGTTAAGCAGTTAGTATTAATTAGCATTACTGTATGATGAAACAAGCCCGTTCGACTGGGTCTGGTGTTCCCAGTGTGTCGGTGTGTCAACTGTTTACCGTCACCTCGACAAGTGAATGAAGATGTGCTGATAACAGTGATCTGTGTTTTGATTACAGACTTCGTCGATTAGTGATGTAATCACTCTCACATGTCCCGCTGCTTCGTCTGCATCACAAACGGCGTTCGTCTTTGCCTACGAGCCCGTGGGCTGCAGCCAACCCGGGCTAACCGCAGCCGGTGATGAATG